CCCATTCCAATGCTAAATTTTGGTCAACTATAGCTAATTAAAAGATATCACATTTATTCGGATAAATTGTTCTAACTGCTTGTGAAGCTTTTCTAATTTTTTAGCTTTTAAAGATAGAAAAGGTGTTATAAAAAATTGTCTTAATAAGAAAAAATATGTTGATGTAAAATTAGTTGACAGGATAAAAATTTGAAACAAATTTGTTTTGCATTTAAAATGGCACAAGTATTTATCTGCAAATTGAGAATTACTTGTTGAATTGTAATGATAAACTTTCATTACATGAATAATAAATTTTTTTAATTTCATGTAAAAAAATCATCCATTATAAACTGTAATGATCCTACAATAAATCACTAAATATTTAAGTGAAGATGGAAGAAATTCTTTTGATAGAATAAGATGAGAAATATTAGGACAGTTTTCTATTATAAAAAGCATCACTTCCTTTATTACTACTTCTAAGGTTAATACAAAGGTCTTCTAATATATAACTTGTTCAAATTTTTAAAGTTGAAATTATTGTACGATCTTATATTTTGTCCCGAATTCCAACTTTTTGTATTTAGCAAGTAAATTTAATGAAGATCCTGAAATGTTAACACACTCGAGTTTGATAGATATTAATGAATTAGCTTGAGATGGCAATGCTTTGATTATTTCTTCTACCCAGCTATCTACACCCCTTAGGCCAAATTCTTTTAATTTTTCTTGCGCATTTATAATCGATATAATAGAATTTTTAATCTTAGGGTTGTTCTCAAATGAAGGAACCTCGACTTTTAAATTATTTTACAGTACTTTGAAATTTTTTCCAAGAAATTTATAGAATTTATTGACATATGTTGAGTTGCGTATCCAATTTTAAGCTAAAATATTTAAAAATTGCCCACCAGTATGTAGAAGATATGGAACGTAATTCAAAATCTTGTCACTGTCAATTATTAAAAATTTTAAATTCGTAAATAATTAAATAAAAATAATATCATTTGTTTCTTAATATACATGATTTGTTTTCCTGACTCTTCAAAATTCTTATCAGGCATGTATGATTATTTTTAAGCTTCTCAGTGAAAATTCTTCCAGAATCATTGAATAACTAAATAAAGGTTTTTTATTTGGCAGAATAGACTTTTGGTCATACAAATTTTTTAGCTAATATCATTTTAAAATAACTTTTTCATCTTCCTCAAGCGAACTAATTTAATCTTGTATATGTTATCAAAGTTTAAATTATCAAATGGGCAGGCCCACAATAATACTAAGATCCCCACTTTGGGGTAATTTTAGGTTAGCGTTATTAGTTATTTAAAATTAAGCTTAATTAAATAAGAAATTAATGTATTGTTTAATTACTCAAACAATTCTTAGCATGTATATTAAAAAGATTAAAATACAAAGAATAAAATAGGGTCTTAATGTATTTGTTAAATTTCAAATATAATTTTAAAACCGGTAATATTGAGCAAATTATTAAAACTTTTTGTATCTATAAAATCTATTTATTAGTCAACAATTTATTGTCTGAGCTTTATGGTTGGTAAAATATATATATATATATATATATATATTTTTTTTTTAAAGAGAGGTCTATCCTCTATCTCTTTTATTAATAGTTGATTATAC